TGGTGAGCGCAGTCTGAAGTCTTTAAATGTGGCAATAAACAGATGAGTCGCCTCCAATTTGTTTTAACACCAAAAGATATTGAGCACTACAAATAAAAATTTTTAAATGTTTTCTGTAGACTTGTTATTTTTGTTCCAAGAATATAAAAGTTGTGCATTGGACAAAGCATTGATAATCAGGTGTTCTCCAGAATAGTGGCTGGTGGGTTCGAACCTTGAACCTTGTGGTTAGCAGTGCAGTTCTTACCCAACAGCAATGCCAACCCAGATCAAAACTTGTTATCAAGTTAATTCCAACTCCTAGCAGCCCTTTGAGTTGAAGCACTGTACAGGCTTTCTGAGGCTGTCTTCACTGAAGCAGGTAGCCTTGGTTTTCTCCCATGGAGCGGCTGATGGGTTTGAACTACAGACTTTCTGATTAGCAGTTCAATGCTTATCTAGCATCTGATGGGTTTGAACTACAGACTTTCTGATTAGCAGTTCAATGCTTATCTAGCATCGCCATTAGGGCTCCAGGCACCAGGGTACCCTAATTTCACAGAGGAGAGAGTTCAGATGAATTTGGGTATAATAAATTATCTACAACAAATGCCTATGTAAGGAATACTTCTTTTCTGTCAAGTAGTAGCACTGGTGGGGCTGTGGGCTTTGGGTTGCTAACTGCATGGTTGAGAGGACAAACCCACCATCTACTCCGAGGAACAAAGGTGATGCTGTCTGTTCCCATATAAAATTTTAGTCTTGGAACCAATTCAGCAGGGTGAGCTTGGTTTGGTTTTCTTTTCTCTTAGTTACTGTTATAAAAACTAAGAAATTGGAAACTTAGAAATGTATTCACGCAGCTGTCTTATGTTATCAGAATAAACCTCTTACCATTTTAGGAGTTTTGTTTGTTTTTCGTTTTAGTGTGATATTTCAGAAGTATGATTCTTTGGCCTTCTACTGGAAGTTTGCTCTAGAAGCTACTTGGATCGACATACACACTGAAGAGCTGTGGGAGGGAGTTGAGAGCATACTCATGCATATATGTTTGACTGGATGTTTGTATATGCTTTTTACACAAATAGACATCGCCTTTGCTGCAAATGTAGCCATGAATCTGGTAGAGCCCGTTCAGTGGGCAAAGCTCTGGAAACGTATTAAGTACAATCAAACACCTTGAGGGGAATGAGACACTGGGCCTGGGGGATCAGGACCACAGGCTTGATGACCAAGTCAATTGGCATAATATTCATAAAGGCGATGCCAACATTTTACTTTTATGTGAGTAGCAACTGGGGCTAAAAGCTCATGAGCAGCCATGTAGGGTGCAAATATTGATTCCCTCAGCATCTAGAGCAGCGGTTCTCAATCTGGGGGCCGAATGACCCTTTCATAGGGGTCGCTCGATTCATAACAGTAGCAAAATGACAGTTATAAAGTAGCAACGAAAATAATTTTATGGTTGTGGGGGTCTCCACACATGAGGAACTGTATGAAAGGGTCATGGCTTGAGGAAGCTTGTGAACCACTGATCCAGAGGAAAGAAGCATGATAAAAATTGGAGGGCACATGGAAACAATTGGTCCAGTGGACTAATGAACCAGGCACACGTCAGTTTGCACAACCCTACGAGCACACGCTCTAAATGGTGCACCAGCACCAACTGTTCTGAAAGGTTCTAGATAGGGTCAGAGAAAAATGTGGGACAGACCTCCAAACCATATAAAAAGATGAGGCTGATTGGTCAAATGGAGACTAATGGGGCACTTCCTCCGTCACCCCTTACCCCAACTGTGACCCTTAGTTGCTCAAGTCTAGAACTGAACTCACTTCCATTTTAGAATAAACTTGTGCGCATCAGAAGGGCAGTGTTTGTGCAAGGACAGAGGGTTGGGAAAGGAGCCGTGGGAACCTGAAAAAAGTGAGATCATTTGACGGGATTAGAATAGATGAGTGGAAACAAAACTGATTGTGTGCTGTGTAAACCTTCGCTTAAATCATAGCAAAACATTTTCTTAAAGGAAAGTCACTGTGCTAACTTTTAAAAAATTATGAGTCTAGCTGTTAGGGCCTTTGCTTTAAAGCAGGGGTACAGTATGGACATCCATCCAAGGGCTGTCAACTCATCAATACCAGGTAACATCACACACTCACCAGAGAAGCAGTTCCAGCCATCACATTAAGAGTGAGTTGACGACAATTTAAATTGTTAATTTTGTATGGCCCAAAATTATGTTATAAATATCCAAATAGTCCTTGGCAGAAAAAAAGGTTCCCTACACCTGGCTTAATGCCATGCAAGTGGTGCCTGGCACAAGGACACTAGCTGAGGTGTTGAGTTGGGTCTAAAACCCAGCCCACATGCCCTTCTCCAAAGCGTGTGCCCTGGTAGCCTTTTATCCACATCGTGCAGAGATTCCGTATGGGCTGCCTACTGTACCTTTTTTCTTCAAGGACATGCTAGAATTCTGAGCTATATAAAATTGCAAGCCAGTTCCATGCAAAATGACAGGAGCTGAAGAGGCCTTTGTTTTGTTGGATATCATCGATTCACATTCTTTGAACTTGCTGTTCTTGTCTTTTGGAAAAACTCTTCTCCCCGTATCTAAGTGGCTTCACTCTTAGGTCTTTGTACAAAGGTCATCTCCTGCACGAGGCCTTCCCTGATGTCTGTACTTAAAATTGCAGCCACCTCCCTAGCACCGTCTCCCTTCTGTGGTTACGTTTTTTGCCCAGTGCTTATCATTATCTGACATACTGTGTTTTAATTACATCGTTGACTTCTGAGACATTAGGGGTTTTCCTGTTTGGTTTGTGTTACATTCCCACAGCTGGGAACAATGTCAGGCTCATTTCAGGATGCTATATTTATTGAACGAATAAAAACGTGTAGAATTTGCAATGTATGCTGTACTTTTCGCACTTGAGAATGGCAGAAAAATGATTTAAAAGCCTGGGTTCTGGCAGTTCAAATCCCATTTTACCAATCTTAGCTATATTTCTTTGTTTCCTCATCATTAAAATAGAAATATTAGTAGTATCAACATCATAAAATTTCAAGGATTTGATGAATTAATGAAGTCTAGGCATATAAGTATGTGAACTTTAATGTCCGTTTGGGCAGTGTGCAAGCTGTCTCATAAGGTGTTTTTGTTCCATTTTGCTTCTTTTAAAAAGGGAAAGCAGTTCTCCCTTGCTTTTAATTTCCCCCAGTGGTATAAAGTACCCCAACACCAGGATGCCTGCTCCTCCCGCTCTCTCCTCTGTGCTTCACTCCACCCAGCAGCAGGGCAACCTTTCGTGCAGGCACAAGGCTGCACCTCTCATGGCCCCTCCACTTGCCATGGGTGCTGGTGATGCCAGTTGGGCCTGGGGTGCATATGGGCTCCACGGGCTGGCTGCGTAGAATCAGGAAGTGGCCATACCAGGTGTAGACAAGGTCACAGCTGCCAACTATGTCCCTGGCGCAGGTCCACAGTCTCTCAGCGGCCAACTCTCCATACCTGGTTAGGTGCAAAGTACCAATCTGGCTGTTGGGGTAGCCCAAATCCAGACCAGCCACACATCTGGCAAGACTGGCCTCCTGTTTCCAGTGGATACAGCAATCAGGTTCCGTTAGGTGGGCTCACATAGGTTTTAATAGGCTTTATGGGGGTTTAGATACAGATTGTAAAGGGACTGTCTGTGTAGATCCAAGATGATATTCACACAGTGGTCAAATCACATAGCACACTGTTTCACAGAGTGAATTGCGGCATGAAGTGACTCATACCTAGAATGTGTTCGGCTCACTGCAAGTGTTCAGTTGTTAGTTTGGTGACAATCAGCTTGACTGAAGGAAAAGAGTACAAAAGATCTAAATTACTCTTTGCACATTTATTAAACATTATTGTTCTAGGCGTTATGGTAACCGAATATGATACCGTTCCTACCATAAAGAAAAAATAGCCTAATTGGGAGGATATTAATGTAGACACTTAAGTCATGAGGGCATATTTTATATAAATATTTACTGCTTTTTCCTTACACCTTAGATCACAACATTTCAGCTTTCCTAGAGTACAGTTATTCAGACTTAAGAGCCACCAAGACGAGGAAGAAAATCTAGTATTAGTGTATATAAGTAGCTAAGAGAGAGCCACTTTATATCTGGAGGAGGATCGGTTGGGTTAACCAGTCCTTTACAGTCTGTTTTTCTTATGGCATATGCGATACAGTGTTTGGCCTTCTGTGTTGTCGACGAATCGACAGGCCTACAGGTGTGTGTATAATTATACTGAAGACCTTAATGACAGTTTCCTACTTGCAATAATGATTTATTTTACGTTTGTAGAATCACATGACAGACCAACCAATTAACTTATTTTTTAATCTTTAATTAGTATGTAATTAATGTACTTCGTAACAATATACATAGGTAAGGACATGATTATTCAAGGTAAAAATGATAAAAGCTAATAAGGCCCTAGTGTACATTCTTAGCTAATTTCGGCTGTTTAGGGATTTAGTGACCTGATGGCAGTGAGTTTGGTTTTGAGAGTAGAGAGTAGAAGGGCAGAACATTATTGAAATGCAGTTCAGGTTTTTACATTCACAATATAATGGAAGGAGAGAGTGTTTGTTGTCTAATACCTTTCCATCTTTCTTTACAATACTGTTTACAAAACTGTTCCATAACTTTAAGTGAACAAAAGTAGATTTTAAAATATGTAAACACCATTTTTACTTGATATATGTATGTGCTTTTATTTGTTTAAGTAGAAGACTATACACCAAAATCATAATATTGGTTATCTTTGGTACTTTTATTAGCCTTCTCTTTTATAAAAAAGCATTCATGTTTACATTTTTTTTCCCTTTTCAGAATCTGATATTGATGCTGCCACTGCAATGATGCTTTTAAATACTTCTATAGAACAAGGGATTTTAGAATGTAAGCAATCATCACCTTTCATTTTGAAGTACATTTCTCCGCCTTTTCAAATATTTAGAATTCAAGCTGTATAAGTATTGCAGAATGTAAGTTACTTAGATGAGAAAAGGCTTACCTGAATAACTAGGTGTCTATTCCATTGATGTGTGCAATTGAGAGATCAAAGTGATGCTGTGGTGAAACTTCTCAGCGTAAACAAGAAGAACAGTAAGACACATAAAATAAGATTGAAGATCTAAACGTGAAAATCAAGGCTTGTCTATAGGGAAATGCATTTCCAACCTTGGAAGGCCTTTTTGAAGAGGCCACATCCATAAAGAAAAGGGTGGGAAACTTAATAAACATCAGAGTTCTAGAGTTCTTCTTTACAACAGAAGGCATCTCTAACCAATGCGATGTAAGCAAAGGGCTGAGGAAACAGATTTTCATCTTACAAAGGATTACTCCTTTGTCCAGTGTATATTTTAAAAGATCCTCCAAGCACAAAATAAAACCATTCCACAGCAAAATCAGCCAAAGATGAAGAGTCACGAGGAGCAGAAAAATAAATGTACACATATACATATGATCAATATACATATGAGGCCCAGCTTCTTTAGTCATTGGGAATGCAAAATAAAATCAATACTGCCATTGTTTTTGTTTGTTTTATGGACCTAATTCATCTATCATATAATTCAGTGGTTTAAATACATTAAAAAGAGTTGTGCAATCACTACCACAATAAATTTTAGAACATTTTCTTCATTTACACATTATTATAAGTTCCTGCTTTCCCCCAACCTCCTCTGCCATAACCTTAAGAAATTATTAGTCCAGTACTTGCCTCTCTAGATTGACCTATCCTGGATTTCATATTATAGAAAATCATGTACACACACACACTCCCATCCCCCCTAAAAAAGAAAATTACCAATAACCCCCAAAATCTTCAATCTAAAAGAAAGAAAACTATACAAACAAATTCAAAATGGGTCAAAAGAGAGAACAAATGATAAGGTGTTAAATTTTAACCTAGCTCTATCTGCCTTAGTTCACTTTGCAATGCACTCTGTCTTATAGCAAGCCTGTTCACATACCTGGAGGGTGGGTTAACAGTGCTTCTCAACCTTCCTAATGCCGTGACCCATTAATACAGTTCCTCATGTTGTGGTGGCACCCAACCATAAAATTATTTTTGTTGCTACTTCATAATGGTAATTTTGCTACTGTTATGAATCGGATGACCCCTGTGAAAGGGTCATTCGACACCCCCCAAAGGGGTCATGACCCACAGGTTGAGAACCACTGGGTACAAGGGAATTTATTGGCACCTGAATACACTTAGGGACTCTACAAATGGATTTTGGGTTTTCTCTATCATTTAATAATCTGTAAACTAAGTGCTCAGAATTTAAGTTCTAATATCATTCCCTCCTCCAGTTTTAGACTTTATTCTTTAAAACCCTTGCATCACATAGGCTGGTATGCTTTTTCGATGTGAGCTTACCTTACACCTCATTTAGGTGGTTGCCTGTTTTAAGACAAGCCTTTAAGAACTCAGACACTGTTTTGTCTAATAGCCAAACACCATCTGCTTTCTTCACTACACTTTGCTATCCCTCCTATATCTTCATTGATTCCATCATGAGGCCAAGTGAGATACATGCTTTATCCATCAGAGATTATGTCTGGAGTATGGGAACTGGGTATTATACACAGTAGGATAGAAATTGGGACAGCCATTTTTTGGTTATTTGGAAGGACCAATTATTTTTCCCAATTATAATTTTAATTGTATGAGGGTTTTTAAAGCAATTCTACTTGGTATCGTTCTAAAAAAGTATTTGCATATATATTTGAAGAAACATCTAGAAAGACTTATTGCAGTGCAGCTCGTTACCTATCCTGGCAAAAAATTGATAACAATCTAATATCAACAGGGAAATGGTCAGCTAAACAGTAGTGGATTTATATTGAGGCATTGTGTGCAACAGTTCAAAAGAGTTATGTTTTTCATGGAAAGGACATAAAATGTATACATACTGCTACGTGGATTAAGAAGATTTCCAAGTACTTAAAGAAATAATCCACAGAGCATTGATGTAAAGGTACTTACTGTTCTCAAGTAATGTTAGAGTTTGACCAATATTGGGAGGGAGCATGGTTTGGTTCTTTCCGCTGTCCAACATCTAGCTTGTACTAAAGAGTTTCTGATGATCTCATGAGATTTTCTTTGCCGTTTACTTTCTCCCCTACCCCCCTTCTCTCTGTGTTTTTAAATTACATGTCTTTGCAATCAAGTGCATTTGACCTATTGATGGAACTTTCATTTCTACAGGTGAGAAACCTCTTCCTCTTAAAGCAGCCTTGCAAAAAAAGAGGAGCTTTAGCGGTGCATTTAACCACTCAGGGGCTGTGCGTTTACAGGAGAGTGATTCTTTGGCCACCAGCATTGATCCCAAGGAAGACCACAATTACAGCGCAAGCAGCATGGCAGCACAGCGATGCGCATCCAGGTCTAGTGTGTCTTCCCTGTCTTCTATGGATGAGGTCTATGAATTTATCCCAAAGAGCAGCCATGTGGGAAGTGATGGCAGTGAAGGATTTCACAGTGAAGAGGATACAGACGTTGATTACGAAGATGATCCTCTGGGCGACAGTGGCTATGCATCACAGGCATGTGCAGATACCTCGGGAAAACGGCAGCCAGGCAAAAAGAGGCGAAAGCAGGCATGTCAAGAAATTGATGAGGAGCTCAAAGAGGCAGCCGGCTCGCTGCTCCACCTTGCTGGAATCCGTACATGTCTGGGCTCCCTCATAAGTGCTGCTAAGACACAAAATCAAAAGCAGCGGAAAAAATAGAATTTCTTATTAGTATGAAATTATTTTAAAGTGTGGCAATACTCTCCTACACTCTTCTTTACAAGGGATATCAAAGCCATAATGGACTTCTTTAGTTTGGGGCTGGGGAGGGACTGCTAATTATTCCTTTCAAAACATTGAAGGTTTTTGGTTTTTAGATTAAACAATTGCTGTTAGGATCATGCCCAATCATAAATATATGGTGTAAAGTCCTAAAAGGTTAATTCTTGTGATAAATGTTTCAAAAGATATGCAAATTTTTTATAATGAAATGCCCAGCATCTATCTTTAAATTATATTGGTGGGGGCCATCTTTCCTTTGCTTAATATTTCAAACGTAAGAATTTGCAACTCTATTATACAGTTTTTTTTGTTTCATTTTCTTTTTCAGTCTGTAATTAACTTTAATTACTGCTCCTGCTAAAAAAAATTGTTGATGTCTGTCTCATATCTTCCTCCCCTGACACACACAATGCAGTTGGACAAAATTTGGGTGATTTATTTTGTCTTTGGTTTTAGGGGTTTTTTTTGTTTGTTTTCATTTTGAGGCATAAACAAGGCGAATATAAATTGAAAAGATCCTAGATGTCACTAAAATTCCTTTCCTTTACATAGGTAGAGAACACAACGACGAAAAGTTCTTTAGAAAATGTAATTTTATGGAATAATTTTCATCTGAGGACACTCCAATTGTTATTACAATATTCTGGGGAAAGTTTTACGTCTCACATACTAACAGCATATTAATTGAGCCCATTTGCTCTTTCCCAAAGTACATTATAAGTATGGTTTAAGTTTTAATCACTAGCTGTCTGCTGATTAGAAACTATCCAATGAGAATATACAGCCATAAAGTGTGCTATGGAATAACACCTATCTTGACACACTCTGGCATAAGAATTTTTCATTTGGTTGTTAAAAGTTTTGAATTGAACAAGCCACATGGTGCTGCACTGGGAAAAAAAAAAGTTTTGAATTCTGAGACTTGTAATGGGAATGGCGTATAATCTAAAACAGTGATTCTCAACCTTCCTAATGCCGCGGCCCTTTAATACAGCATAATCCTCATGTTATGCTGACCCCACCCCCGCACACACACACACCATAAAATTATTTTTGTTGCTACTTCATAAGTAATTTTGCTATGGTTGCTATTTTTGTTGCTACTTCATAAGTAATTTTGCTATGGTTGTGTAAATTTGGCTATGGTTCACAGAACCCCTGTGAAAGGGTCGTTCGACCCCCAAGTTGAGAACCACTGATCTAAAAACATTCAAATGTTAGGTATTTTGTCATCACTAAGATAGCTTATTTGGAAAAAATCTTCTGTCCAAGTGTTTGAATTATAAAGTATTTAACAAAGTTACAGAGAAAATACCTTTATGGACTTAAATCTTATACAATATACTCTTTGGGAGAAGGCAGTGCAATATCTGTGTAAAACCCAACCAAACCCATTGCCATAAAGTTAATCCTGACTCTTCCCCCCAACCCTGTAGGATGGAATAGAACTGCCCCCAACGGATTTCCAAGGCTGTAAATCTTTATGGAACTAGATTGTCATCACATCTTCCTCCCTCAGATTGGATGTTGGGTTAGTGCCGCTGAGCACTTTAACCACTGCACCACTAGAGCTCCTATAATACCTGTATGTGCCATTAATGCTTGCTGAAAGGTTTTATAACGCTGTTGCAAAAGTGCATTGGTGAAAGCGTTAAGTATTTGAAGAAATCCGCTTGTAATGAAACATTTTGTTCATGTATCATTCGTACAGTTTATATCATTCAGAAAGAACAGGAGATGGTAGTAAATCAGAACTTACACATTTTTTTCTACAATGCTTGGTAAACGTGTTTTTTTAATTCAGTCTTAATTCATGCTGCACCTTGTGTCATAAACAGTGCTTTGTTGTGTGTTGTTCTGATGGTTTCTTCTCAGTACCCATGGACGCACACGGCAGTCAGGCTCGTGGTAGGGGTTAGCAGCTTTCAGCGCTTTCTTTTTTTCCCCACGAGTCTTTTATTTATCACTTAAGCCAGGTGCTGGTTTTAGAATTTTCCCGCTACATGTAATACAACCTGCTTGAAGTTCTTCCCATAGTGCTTCAATCCACAAAACTCTAGGTCTTTTGTACTTCCATCACAGTCCAAGGATGTTTTACTAAGGACAGATCACTGCTGAAGCAAATTCAAGATAGTGTGAGCCTGTTTGAAATGGCCCCCAAGCTCTAAGAGCCCTGGGGTCAGCTCCCGTGTGTCTCTCTTTCCCTCCTTACGGCCACCCAGACCAGTGTTTCCACCCAACGGGAAAGGGAGCTGGAGGCTGCTTTCAGCTGTTTCTAAGACTATAAAGCATTTTCCTAAGTTTGTTTTTGTTTTAAGCAACAGTTTACTCCTATTTTAAGCTAAATATTATTTGGGCAAAACTGCCAAATGAGAAACATGATTTAAAAGCAAACATTTTTCAATGAACAAGACTTTAAGGCAGGGATAGCAACACTAACAGTCTATGTTGTTTTCATCTTGGCTGTAATTGAAGCTGGAGAGCCACGTTAATGGGATTGATGGGATTGAAGTGTAGCAATTTTTAAATTTGTTTACGATGAAAACTGGGATGGTACGTTTGGGCTTTTCCTTCTTTCTGTGTGTCCCCTTTAGGACAGAAAATGTCAAGCCCATGCAGCACCATTTACAGTGAATAGTGTACCAATCACAGTGCTTTACCACAATAGGAAGAGTAAACATATTTTTAAAAAATTATTTTAATGTCCAATAGTTTTGCACACCTCTGTCGCTATTTACCATGACCTCATGATGCTGGTTTTAGTGTTTCAACGATCTGGCTCTGGTTTATTTTATTCTGTTGAAATTCTGTGCCACCAATGTTCTCCTTGGTTCCTGTCTCGTGGATAATAACTCTTTCTAGGTGAAGGAAAATGAGGTAAGGCACAGAGAGGGGAGAGTTGTCAGTTGTAACAAGTATAAGAACTCTTTAAATCCCTTCGTTTTCTTTCCCTACAAAGAAAAATATTTGTAAGTTACACTTCTCACTAGCAAAGATAAACAGTTGTGCTCCAAGAGATAACAAGGAGGAACGATGAGATCTTTTAAACTTTTTGTACAGAATTGAGTACATAGCTTTCTGTGTGTTAATGTATCAAGGTAGTTCTTTTCCAGGGCAACCCTAATTACATAATCCTTGTTTCCCTATTACAGCTTCCCAGTGATTATGATCTCATTCTGGTTTGTGACAGAGAAACGAGGCCTAGAGCCCCTCCCCCTGCCCCATGGCGCCTCACACCCCCCCCACCCCCCACCGCCCTGTTTAGGAAAGTCATTCCCAAGTACTGTGGAGTATAAATTGTGTTTTCTGTAATAAGTTATTTTACTATAATTATAAAAGCAATTTAGAAATTCTGGAGAAATTACATATGTGAGGCTCCCCGGCATATTTTAAAACTGGGACTTAATTGACGTATACTTTGGCCTTGTATGAAAATGAAAGGGGGAGGGCATAACAATTTTAACTGTGTTGCAGCTGATTCCAGTTCCTATGAGCGCCATGGTGAAAGTTTCAGTCTACACAATTAGTCTTCATCTTTCATATTCCAATCAGTGTTGTGGGGTTTTGGTTTTTTGCTTGTTGGTTTTCAAAATATATTTGAAACTTATTTGTGCAATATATTTCAAAATAAGTTAATAATTTTACCTTTCAAGTTGAGAGAAAGCCAATAGATTTGGGGAAAGCTCACCGTGGGTGGATCACCTCTTTTCTACATGTGGGCCTTGCCTCTCCTCGGTATAGCTAGCATGACTCTTCTTAGCTTAGGTTCCGTAGTATATTGTCAAGTTAAGTATATATGATTTTTTCCTTTTCCTGCTTCTGGAGGCATTGTGTAAAGGGTTCTTACTGGGTGGTCACGTAAATCGTCGGTAGCATGAATTCAAAGCTAGAGCAAGCATTACAGAAGGAATGTTCGTGTCTTGGTAGACCAGGGGGCCTTTCCCAACAAATGTAAGCAACGAATGTGAATACTTCACAGAGCTATAAAGACTATTGTCTTAAATATTACAGTACAACATTTTGTGGAGGCCATAACATTTAATTGTGAAACTGTGAGGCTGTCTGGTTTACACATATTTTATGGTTTGTCATTAGTTTGAAGTGTGTAAACTTTGGTTAAAACAAAGTTTGCCTCAGTGCGTTAGTGATGTAGTCGAAGTATTTATTGAAAGGCAACGTAGAGTATTTTATTGTTACACCTGCCTTTTTTTTCCCCCTTAAAGCACATTCTTTGCATCTGACTGCCAGTGCCATTGTTAAACTTTGTTTTAAAATGAACATTTCTTATTAAACTATGTGCTTAATTTCAAAGTATTATTTTGCCATCATGCAGTGTATAAAATGTATAATTGCCAATACATTGTAACTATTATTTATTTTTAAATGAAAGAGTAAGAATGCTTTCTGATTCAAGAAATTTGAGATATCAAGGTGTTTCCTTGCCCTCTTTTCTGATGTAGCATAAAAAACAACGTCCTGAGTTTGAGTTGTAACTGCCAGTAGATGACCAGGCACGAACGAGTGAGCCACTTTTCAGTTGCCAGTCTTGCTCATATTAAAAACAACTTACAAATGTTTAGTTTTTGTATTAATCTGGTTATTAAAATGTTTATAAAGTTTATTTTTACCAAAGAGATGCAATTCGTTATGATAAAGTATTACAGAATAAACTTTGTTTTATAACACTTTGGTGCTCTCTATTTGTGGGAAAGGGGTGGAGTAGGTGTAGGCAGTTCATAAACACACACAATGGGCCATTGTAGTTTTCACGAAATTGCACGTTTCAATGGCAGAATTCTTAAAATCTTTTGGAAAGTTGTTTTTCCTGGTTTTGACATGTCATCCTAATCTCTGAAAACTGAAATAGTGATACGATTCTCAAAGTTGAAAGTTCTTTCTTCGGTATTTAAAAAGAAAGTGACATTTTGAAATATGACCCCCCCAAAAGTGAGTAGGATATAAGATGATTAAGATTTTTTTTAAGTGCACTGGTTTTACTTCAAAACAACAGCGTCACTTGAAAAATCAGGGTGCCCAATAGAAAACTGAGTCAGCTACAACTAACATTTGATATCTCCCGTCCCATATGCCCTGTACTCTTCATTTAAGTAGTAGTTTCTGTATAGAGGATTTTTTTTTAAGATTCTGAAAACCCTCTCGCCTACTTTGTTTCTGGAGAAGGGTATGGGGAGGATCACTCATTTGACATTTGAAGCAGCTAGCAGCAATTTAGAGCTCGAGGGTCTTCTGATCTGGAAAGCAATGTCGAAAGCCCATATTTGGAGAGTCAATTTCATTTTTCCCTGAGCAAGACCATCCATTTTCGCTGGGATCAAAGAATGAACAACAAACTCGATAACCCCAAATAAGGTTTTAAAGCAGAAAATAGATCCAGGTTTCTCCTTTCAAATGTAAATTTTTACAGGAAAATAGGTTTATGAATCAGTTGGTTTTCCTCGATTTAGTCCCTCCCTCTCTCCCCAACCAGAAGCCCTGGAGCCTGAAGAGTTGGTTCATTACTAACCAAGTCCGTCATCAGCTGGCAAAGTGGGATCTGATTACTAAGGGACAACCGAGTCCAGGGTAGCTCCCAGGGATGGGAGGCAGGAACTACGCTCCGCCCCCAGGGAGAATGGATAGTGGGTGGCAGCAGTCGAAGAGGCGGGCGCTGTGCACTGGGTTAAGGATGACTTGACTCACCATGTTCACTGCACAGCTTCTGGAACGCAAGTCTCATTCGATCTATGGTGCCGCACGTCTGTGCTCATGTTGATAGTAAGGGTAAATACCATTCCCGTGACAATCGGAATAAGGATGACGTTGAGGGTGGTGACCTGCAGGAGACAACAGTCCTGGATTGGGCTTGGTATGAACATCTGCATGTGGAATAGGCTCTTTAACCTAGGGTGCTGTTTTTTGAACTGGAAGTTCAATTCATTGGTTCCTGCCTATTCCCTACAACCTTTCTGCACCAGAAAAATAAGCGCTTGGAATTCTCGAGTATGTTGGGAATGCCTTCTGGAATGGC